TAGGAGTCTCCGATGGAGTCATCCAAGGCTGAATTAAAGATAGTGAGATGTTGCCAACCGGCACTGTTTTTAGAGCCATACTGCGAGTTTACACGTTTAGGGTTTGGGCTTTGAGGAGAGAGTCCGGGAAGTCATGCGAGCCTGCCCAACCCCACCCCGAGCACGGCTGACATTCCATTTTATCAAGGCACACGTCGTCCCAGGGTACAGTTCGACGAAGGCTGTCATATCTGCACATTGGCAGAACCATCGATCGCTGCCATCACATGCTCTCAAAGACTCACGCCGTCCCATGGCACGAAGGCTGTCATATCTGCAAAGCGACAGACTTCGGCCTTTCCAAAAGGGATCTCGTCGGGAAAGGCTTTCTTCAACTCTTCCTCAATGGCAAGACGCTGGCTCTCCATCGCAGACGCGTCCACAGAAGCCAGGAGGTCGGGCTGAGGGCAGTATGCCAAGGTCATGTGCCAAGGATGCTTCTGAAGCTTCGCGTTCAGCAGCTTGGCGAGTTGGCAGCCCAGAGGCACCTGGTTGGGATGCGATGGTGTGTCTGGATCCGCTGGCTGCAGCACCACAGCCAAACAACCGTGTCCCAACTCAACATGGGCAACTTTCAGCCGTGGAACAAAGTCAGCTAGAGCAGCTTGCGAACTTGCTTCTTTCCACTGCGGTCCAGCACAGAACGACTGCCAGGCGTTATCATCTAGGCCCAGCTTGTACTGGCAGCACACATCGAGAAGAGTCACATGGTAGCTTTCCGGTGGGAGTGGAGACATTAGCCGGCCCAAGTCTGGCTGCGCACGCACAATGCCCGGCAAGCTGGCAAGAACCGCGTGCGCACTCGCGCGTGCATTGCACACAACGGTGATGCCCGGAAAAGGCAGGTAGGCGCCGTTCGAATCAATCTTCCGATGCACTCGTTTGCCGATGTCTCCACCACTCTGGCTGCAAGGGGGCTGCTGCGAAGACTGGACATCGGCATCAGCATCGGATGGCATGGCGACACGCCTCTGAAAGCCTCGCTCACCCCTCCAAGGCCGCTCTCGCTCACGCTGCGCTCAAGACAAGTCGCTACGCGTGTGTGTGTGTGTGTATATAAATATATATATATATATATATACACGCACATACATACATACATACATACATACATACATACATACATACATACATACACAAACACAAACACATATACATATACATGTATACCTACACATACACATACACATACCCACATACACACACATACATCCACCCATCCATTCATATCTACATACATACATGCATATCTAACGACTGCACACTCACGGCCTGGGACTTCACCGGACCTCCCCTCAATCAACAGGATTAAAACGCACTACAGATCGGAATCCAGTATCTTGATCAATCTCGGTGCGACCCTGGACCCATGCAGGGCTGAGCTTGAAAGCAAGGCCTATCCCAAACCCCGAAACAGTTCAGAACTGCCTTGAGCCGAGAAGATTTCGGATAGAGCGGAAGAGGGTTCTTCTGGCTACTTCATAGAACCTCCTACAAAGATGAAACCTTCGAACAGCCATACATCTCTGAGTCGATCCTTAAGCTTACCAGCCTTTTTTCTAAACCCAAACGCTAGACCCTAAATTCCAAACCGGAAACGACAGAGGAAACCTACAAGCTCCAAGCCCCAGACCCGGCTGCTTTGCTCTGCATGAAGGTCACGTACCTGCCAATGCAAAACCCCAAAACCTGAAAAAACGCAAACCCACAGAAACCCACGGGAAATCTTACATTCAACTATAAACCCTAGATCCCCGAACACCGAAAGGTTGAAATGCCTGAACCTAGGGCGCAGGATGTTACGAACCTTAATAAGGAGCCTTCACATCAAAATGTCAATGAACAAAAGCAAAGTTCCCCCTCCTTGCTTTAGGGTTTAATTAAGGGTCTCGGGAACTGTATTCTCGCCCGTCGTTAGACCAATCCCCCGCTTGCGCCTCAAAACGCCCCTAGAAACACTTGCATGGGAGCTTCGGATCGTGAGGGATATGCCAACAGTCGGAACAAATCGCCTGTACACTCATCAAAGGTCAACACCCTGTGAACAAGGGGCATCCGTTAAAATAGGGAATGCTACATGGCTCAATATCTGATGGCGAAAACCTCAGAACCCTTTAAACCCAGCCTACAAACCGTGTATTTCAAGCGCGGATACCTGGGTGTACTGCTTTTGCTAGTATCATTATTACCATTAGTCTCATTATCATTGTCATTACTGTTGTTATTACTATTAATATATATATATATATATTTATATTTATATTTATATTTATATTTATATTTATATTTATATTTATATATTACTACGAGTACTGTCGTATAGGAGTAATAATTTCCCTAAGCCCTACACCCTCAAAACTCTAAACCGTTTAATTGTTTCTAGACACCCAGGGCACGCCGTGACTCGATCCAGGCCGCCGAAGTGAGCTCCGCCGCAGTGCCGCAGGCGGCCGTTGAAGAGCACGAGGCTCCCTGGCTTTAGGCTTTAGGGTTTGAGGGTTTAGGGTTTAGGGTTTAAGGGTTTAGGGTTTAAGGCTTAGGGTTTAGGGCTTCAGGGTTTAAAGGTTTAGGGCTTAGGGTTCAGGGGTTTAGGGGTTTAGGGGTTTTGGCTTCGTTGAAGGACTCCTTCTGAAGGGGTCTCTAAGGGTTAAGGGCTTTGGGTTTAGGGTTCGTTGAAGGGCTCCTTGTACAGGGGTCTATAAGGGTTTAGGGTTTGGGTTTAGGGTTCGTTGCATGGTTTCTTTCAGAGAGGTCTATAAGGGTTACGACAAGAGCTACTGTAAGGGCCCAAGATCAGGGCCTTAATCGTTAGGTGGGTTCTGGGGTGCCTATATGATACTCACGCTCGGGAACTTTAAGGAACAATATCATGGGTCATCCAGGCTTCTAAAGCACAAGGGCTTCGAGAATTACAGTTTAGGGCCGTCGGGATGGAGTTTCGGATTTGCTTGAGGCAGGTCAGCGCAGGGAGGGCACTATCAAACAAAACGAATACAAAGCAAAAAACCAACTAGCCAGCCAGCCAGACGATCGAAAAGGAGAAATCAATCGACCGACAGCTCAACCGACCAACAGATCGACCGATTCACAAACAAAAAAACAGTTCCGCCAACCAACGAGCACCCCGTCCATCAACAAAGCAGCTGATCACTATGCTGATAGCTGAGAACACAAACGCTAGGACCCTAAACACCTCAAGCCATATTTCAGCTACAACATGTTGCAGCACTTCCCTCTTCACGTGCGCAGGAAAGCCAATATTCCTTAAAAAAAGGCCAGGAAGACCCCTGTGACTCTGATGCCCATAAAACCCTGATAGAAATCTTTCCTAACCCTGATAGCAACCATCATGCTAACACCAAACCCCAAACCGTTTTGGCGACCTTTGCAGCCAGCCTAGATCATGCTAACCCAAACCATAAACCCTTTTAGCGACCTTTGCAGTCAGCCTAGGCACAAACTCATGCACAGCTTTGACTCCCGGTGCCTTTGGGGCTTGGCAACGCGATCCTTGGAAAAAGCTCCAGAGGTTCGGATTTATATTTTAGATCTGTTTGGCCCTTTTTAGGGTGTACAGGCTTTAGAGTTAAGGGTTTAGGGTACAGGGACGTGCCCAAATGGCAGGGTTTGGACTTTAGGGGGTCACACGTTGATGTCTGGCCGCGTGGACGGCGGGCCTCTATGTGTTAGGGCATACACGGCAAGTGCTGTAAACTACACGACTTCGTGTGTGCGGCTGTGAAAATGGAGGGATTCGTGCTTCAGGAAATCCAGGGACTCAACCTTAGGGCACTCATTTTAGCACACATTCCCCAAGTGATCCGCGACATCCGCTTTGGGATCGAACTGCGAGCACCAGACCAGCTGTAGATGTATTCTATGAGACGCACGTTGTGTAAAGAGGCAAAATCGCGGCGCGTGTGTGGCCTTAGGGCTTCTATGGGCCTTCGAGCCTCAGGGCTTCTACAAGGCTTTCTCGCTCTGGTGCTTACATGGGTAGTTGTCAAAATTAGGGTCCCTTTTGGGGTACCCTAAATAATAGGTGCCGTATTATAATAAGGACCCAAAAAGGGACCATAATTTTGACAACCACCCACATAGGTTTCTCGAGTTTTTGCAGGGCTCGCGGTTGGCGGCCTGGGACATTGAGGTCAGGGGCTTAGGTTTGGGTCGCAGGCTTTTTACCTGTCAGCTCCTAAAACGCCAGCAAGCACAACCTAAACCCTAAACCCTAAACCCAGCGACTCCCCAACCCCTTCCATGCACCGAAACCCTAAACCCCCTTTACACCTGGCCACCATGGAAAACCCTAAACCCCTGAACCCGAAACCCTATAGCCTATAACCCCTCCCCGTGAGGCTTTCGAAAAAGGGATCCTAAAAGAGTCACTATGGAAACCCCTTAACCCCTAAACCCGAAGTCCTATAGCCTATAACCCCTCCTCGTGAGGCTTTTGAAAAAGGGATCCTAAAAGAGTCACTATGGAAACCCCTTAACCCCTAAACCCGAAGTCCCATAGCCTATAACCCCTCCTCGTGAGGCTTTTGAAAAAGGGATCCTAAAAGAGCCCCTGGCCGCCCACAGTGAGAGGTCAAGATCCAAGTCAAAGGTTTCAGAGATCAGAGAAATCCCCCAAAACAAGGGGTTTTTAGGGGCTTAGGGTTAAGCGTTCAGAGTTAGTTTAAGAGTTTAAGGGTTTAAGGGTTGGGGGGTTTAAGTTTAAGCATTCAGCGATCCCCCCCCCCCCAGTTTCTAAACCACGGGTTTAGGGCCTTACGAAAAATACTGGACTGACCAAAGGACCTTACTGAGGTCTTCGTATACCTTGGCCTCCCACTGCCGCTCCGGCCGCGCTTCCAAGGGTGCTCGGTGCGTGCCAGGCCTCGACTGTTTGGGTCGGTTTCTTCGGTGGCCTGTAGACCCTAAACCCTAAACCCCCCTAAAACCTAAACCCTGAACCCTAGACGCTAAACCCTAAACCGTAAACCTAAACCCTAGACCCTAAACCCTATAATAAACCCCAAAGCATGCGGGTGCTTTTCAGGCTGCCATGGGCTTATAGTAGGCTCATGTAGGCTTTCTTGGAGCTCTTGCCAGGGCTTCGGGTGCAGGAGCCTTCAGGGTGTCAGGTCTTCACAAAAAGTGCAGCGGGGGCCTCAAGTTTGGGCTTTTGGGCTTTTGGGGGTTTGCTGTTTGGGGGCTGGTTGGGGGTTCAGGGTTTGGGAGTTCTGGGTCTGGGGGTTGAGGGCTATGGGGGTTTGGGACTTCGGTGTTTGGGCCTCAGGGCTTCGCGGTTTGGGCTGCAGGGTTTTGCTTGCTTCAACCATGTTCCAGACAACGTATACGTCTAGGGCGAAGGTTGATGGGTGTTGGGGTTTTTGGGTCAGGGATCGAGCTCTGGGGTCGGCTTGAATTTCGCATCTCTAGGCGCGGATATTAAACTGTATCATCGATATTGTTACAAAATATTGCCGAATTATCACTATAGGAGCTGACAACTTGAAGGTTTGTACAAATACCAGAGGGCTTGTCAAGGGAGCAGCTGCTTGGTAAGTAGGCAGGCACACGAAAACACTCAATACTAAACCCTAAACCCTAAACCCTAAACCCTAAACCCTACACCGAGGCCCCAGCTCCACGACGAGGGGCCCCATGGCCTTAGCTTGAGGCTCGGGGTTTGGGGTTGGGGTTTGGGGAGGGCTTGTGCTTGTGCGGGTTTGGTTCAAGTGAAGTTCTAGGGCCAATGTAGGGGCCTCAATAATGAGAACAGGGTTTCGGGGTACAGTATATTATACTAATAATTACAATAAGGGACCCCACAAATACTCAAATACTGTCGATGATGTAAACCCTGCATTACCTTAAGCACTTTAAACTATGGGAATTGTGGCCTACTCCTTATTATGGGAAATTGCAGGATTTCTATCATCAACCGTAGTATTGTTAATTGTTTAGGCTCCTATAGTACGGTATACAATGTAGGATTTAAGCTTTAGGCTTTCTTTTTCAGGTTGGAGGGTCTGGGGCTGAAGGCATGAAAGGAGCTTTGGGGTGAAGAGGCTTTTGGGTCGGATCTTGCTTGCTTCTTGGCGATGTTGACACTCCATCTCGGGTGAAGCAGACAAGGCTCAATAAGAGCCGAGAACAGCAACAAAACTTGACTAACCAATAGACTAGCCAACGAAAATGTCTTCCATGTTCTATGCAATCCACATCACATCTTGGTACAACCTGAACTAAGCCAACCTTTCGGACCCCATGAACCAAATCGGCTAAGCCCAACTACGACTCTCATGTGCATGCACTGCAAAAACCTCAACCTCGAAAATCCTGACGGACATGAACCCGAAGCCCCGCCGGTGAAATCGTACCCGAAACCCTAAACCCAAACCCTCAACCCTAAGCCCTAAATCCTAAACCCTAAACCCAAACACCTAGACTTTGCGCCTCGTCGGTGTCTTGCAGGATGAGCCTCGATCCGGGCCCGGGCCCCGAGCTTGAAACGACTCTTCAGCTTTGGCACCAGGGGGTTTAGAGTTTATAGGGCTTATAGGGCTTATAGGGTTTAGGGTTTAGGGGTTTAGGCTGCAGTGTTCGGGATGTAGGGGGTAAGGCTGCAATAAGGCTTTAGGTTGCAGAGTGTGGTGTAGATTCTCAGCCCCCCTTTTTGCATCAGGACTTGTGCAATCGCCTGAATATCTCAGCCCCCCTAAACCCTGAACCCTTTTCTTCAGCAGGGACTGCCAAGCACTAAACCCTAAACCCTAAACCCTAAACCCTGAAACCCCCCTCCCTAAGCCCAAAACCCGAACAACACATCTGGACTAGCTCAGCTGCTGGACGGTCAAGACCTCCGACTCCTGGCGCAGCAGGAGAAGGGTCGCAATTTCTCGGCTACTAACGGTTTTAGGGTTTAGGGTTTAGGGTTTAGGGTTTAGGGTTTAGGGTTTAGGGTTTAGGGCACTCGAACAAAAACTGCGAATCTGTTCGCAGAAGGTTTTTTTTAGTACGATTCAACGTCTTTCGGCTCCATTCGAGGGTATTGGGTCTCCGGGAAGTATGCAACAGCAAGGGTCTCCAGCTGTAAAAACTGCATTCCTGCATCAGGCTCATGGACCCTTGGATTCAAAAGCAACCCTCAACCCTTTTGTGTTACACCTGGAACCCCTAAACCCCAGACTTAAACCCCAAACCCGAAACCCTAACCCTAAACCCTAAACCCTAACCCCGAAACCCGAGGCCCGAAACCCTAAACCCGAAACCCTAAACCCAAAGCCCTAAACCCGAAACCCGAAACCCGAAACCCTAAACCCTAACCCCGAAACCCTAGGCCCGAAACCCCGAAATCCTAAACCCTAAGCCCTAAACCCGAAACCCTAAACCCTAAGCCCTAAACCCGAAACCCGAAACCCGAAACCCTAAACCCGTGCATCACAAAGACCCAAGAGTTGTGCCCCTCAAGGCGGGAACCATGACCTCCTAAGCCCGGGGTTGCATCATCGAGCGGCCTTTAAGAAGAGCTTAGGGTTTACTGTGGAAGGTTTAGGGGTTTAGGGTTTCGGGATTAAGGTGTAAGGGTTTAGGGTTTGAGGTGTAAGGATTTAGGGTCTGGGATTTAGGGTCGGATTCATTTAGGGCTCCTTTCGGGGCTCTATATACGGGTTCTATCTCAGATTCCTTTAGGGTTCCTTTGTGGGGCTCTATACAGGTTCTATATTAGGGGTTCTACAAGGGATCTCTGGGGCCGTAACAACTCGAATAACGCTGGGGGGCTATATTATAATTACTATACCAAAATCAACTGTTCTAACGATTTGGGACTTCGAGGTAACACTACTAATTACTATTCCGTTGAGCAGAGCTCTTGCGGCAACCTTGTAATCGGAGTTCATGCTTGTGCCGGGTTCAGGTCTCAGCTTGCATACAACAGCATAACGACAAGAAACCCCGTTGAGGAGGAACTCAAACTCTCTCAAGTTTGCAGTTCACCCGACCTGAACCACAACCGCTAAATGCAGGCATTAAACCCCATGCCCAAAGCTAGTGAGCTGCAGGCGGACAGGTCGAGCTGCAGACATGCTACTGATGCTTTTCCGGTCCGGTACCCTTCCCGCTTCTACGGCTACTGCTGCAAGCTTCTGTCCCTGTAGACATTTGTCAGCTCGTCACGGCCTAATTGCCCTCAAATGTACACCCTACACTCCAGGGATCCAACCCTTCTGCCTCCTCTCCCGTCAAGCCAACATCCCTGTGAACCGGCTGCGCATCAGCTCCTCTCCGGCACAACAGGGGTTCCCCGATGAGGTGGGATTGGTTTAAGGCTTACGGCAACAGGGGTTCCCCGAGGTGGGATTGGTTTAAGGCTTGCGGCAACAAGGGTTGCCCGATGAGGTTGAAGGCCTAAGGTCTGAGATTATTTGGGGTTTGGGGGTTTGGATCTTCGGGTCGTCTAGAAGGGCTTCTTGGTGGGAGCAACAAGACGGTCAACCTGAAGCTATGCTGTCAACATCTCTCAACTCTCCCGGTTCGAACTGGGTCAGAACCTCGGGTTGGAGCAGGGTTCTGGGGGTTCGCCTCGCGAAGGAGTTTATCTTTCAGCTTCTGACAGCTTCTGTGTCCGCAGCGACACAAATTTGCACCGACAAGCAAAGCATGGCACAACTGGTTGACGCTAATTACCGCAGCGACACAAAATTTGCACCGACAAGCAAAGCATGGCACAACTGGTTGACGCTAATTACAGAAGAGACCTATGCCCGGACCGTGCGCTGAGCCCCACACTTCTTCGGATTCTTCACGTGTGACCACCATCTGACAAAGTGATAGAGACTCGAAGTACTGCTCGAAATGGCCACCAACATGAGTTCTTATCAATAACCTTCAAAGCTGCCCAAGTAACCCCCCCGGACCCCGGCAGCGCCTGATCGTGATATCAAAGCCGCTAACTCCACCATGGTCGCCTTAGGGTGGGCTTCAGGGTTTCGGCGCAAACACTCGGACACTTCAGGCGAAGCATATGGTTGGACGTCTGACAGGAGTGAAAGTTGCCTCTGATGCGGGAGGGTTTAGGGTTTAGGCGGTTTAGGGTTAATTTTCGGGGTGGAGAGTTCGGACATCAGACGTATATAGTGGGTTTAAGAGCTAGCTTGGGTGAGTACAGCGCGTCCGAACTCACGAGTCCGGACGAGATGGCTGGTATATCTAGCGTATATTACATTCTACTAAATACGATGTAGGGCTTCTATAGGGTCTAGGGTTTAGGGCTTAGGGTTTTTACGTATATAAAAAAAGACCCTTTCAGGGTTCATCTTGCCGGGGAACCACAAGATGCCTTATCCCCCTGCGCTGCAATCGGCGATGTCCATTGACAGGCTCGCAAAACCATCCGAAAAACTTACTTCGGTCTAGGGAAGCGACGAATCCTGACAATCAGCGGGCACCCGACCCGGGCACAAATACTGTTTCCGCGACAAGCCATCTCGATCCAACTGTTAGCCACCTCTTGCTTGACTCGGCGCAACCCCTATAACCCTCCAGAATTCAGGTCGCCAGTTTCGCAGAACTTTTGGCATTAGATGGAGGCAGCTGACGGTCCAAGATTTAAAGAGTTTATCGCTCAAGGTTTAAAACGTGCATGTCTTGGAGTTTACGCTTCGGGCTTGGGGTTGGAGGAGTTTCGGGCCTTCCTGCTGCATACGGGTTGGCGGCGCAGCTTGGCTTGCATGAGTCTGCCACCCGATCTGCAGCTTCTAAAGTTGTTACGCATCTCAAAAATCTGGCCCCAAAACTTGTCCCGAAACCCTAAACCCCTCTTCGTAGCCGGTCTGCAGCGTCTCTACCGGGAAAGACTTGTATCCGCGCTTTGCGCAGGACAAAAGCCATGCCAATCGAATAGTAAATTAGAGAACTCATAGGGATGTATCCCGAGCGACTGAGGATTTCAGTCGTTGCTAAACATTTTGTTTTCGGCGAGCCTTCAAAGCAGCACGGTGGGCCTGGTGCTAGTCTTCCAAATCTTGGAGTGACGACAGGCTAAAAGGAGCAACTCCAGCATATCGCGGGACCTCAACAGCGACACCGCCACGAAAAGCTTCATCAACTGCTCGAGGTTCGTATGCCTACACACGCATATCAGAGTGCGAAGCGGAACCAGCTGTATCGTTCCGGCCCAGATTGGCAAGACGATCAGTCGTCTCCTGTAGCGCAGAGACAAGACTCGACATCTTGGTCTCAAACATCTTCTCACACTTCTCTCGACCCATGACCTAGTCTGTAGTCTGTGCTTCACTGTCCGCATAGCGTACTGATGCAAAAGCTGGCAGGGGAATCCACTGAGGGAGCCTTGGGGAAAGAGTGGCACAAACACTGACGCTGTTGGATGCATGGGTGTGATTTGAAGTGGAAGCAGCATCTGCCGAAACATGGACTCCCTCTCCTCGCATCATACAAGCACAACTTCTTCTTCTCCGGCAGCCCGTCCTTACAAAAGTCCTATCGCCACAAGGGCAGCGCCGTATTCAAATGCTGTTTCACCAGGTTTGCATAAGGAGACGCTCGGCTCACTCAAAGCGAAAACGCAATGCACCATGCCAGTTTGCGTTCATCCATCACTGCTTTACCGCTTTACACTTGGACCAACGGGGGCGGGCCGGATGAATTGGCCTCGTGGTAGAGAAGTGGCCTTGAGTCCGCAGCCATTCGGGCCGGATGCTTGAGCCAAGATGGCTACGGAAACCCCTAAACTAAACCCTGAATCCGAAACCCTAAACCTTACACCCCTTTTGCAGCAGGCTTCTCTCGCCCGGAACTGCCGTCGCCGTGAAGCAGTGCAGCACTCAGGACTGCACAACCCCGCACAACCTTACACCCCTACACCCTGAACCCGAAACCCTAAACCCTGAACCCCTACACCCTGAACCCGAAACCTTAAACCCCTAAACCCCTAAACCCTGAACCCGAAACCCTACAAACCTGGAAACCTTGAATCGTACGCCCGTGCACGAAAAGGCTCAGGAAGGGGCGTGAGCGCCGAGCTTCGAGACCAGAGTGGGTCGAAGGAGGTCGACCTCACAGGTTTAGGGTTTAGGGCTTTAGTGGCTTAGGGTTTAGGGTTTCGGGTCAGGGGGTTAGGGGTTTAGGGTTTAGGGTTTGGGGTTTAGGGTGTAGGGTGTAGGGGTTTAGGGGTTCAGGTTTTAGGGTTTAGGGTTATGGGTAAGTATTTAGAGTTCTGGGTTTAGGGTTTTTGGGGGTTTAGGGTCAGGGGTTTAGGGTTTCGGCTCTCACGCTCGGACACTCCACGCGAGACATGTGGTTCGAGGTCTGCAATGAAACAATCCCTGAAGAAAAAACACATACAACATCAAATCCTAGGAATAAGAACCTCGAACAGGGATAGGGTCTTCCTCTTCGTTAAAATCCAGCATGCAGGTTTAGGGTTTAGGGTCTAGGGTTTGGGGTTGGGGGTTTAGGGTTGGGGGTGGGGTTTAGGGTTGTTTTGGGGTTAAGGGTCAGGGGTTTAGGGTTTAGGGTCTAGGAAATGAGGTGGGTCTGAGGTTTATGGCTTTCATGGCTCGAGTAGGTTAGAAGTGTTTTGGGAGTATTTTTCGGGCTTCCACGTGTCCGGGAGCAGGTCCCTAAACCCTCAACCCCCCTCAACCCTCAACCCTAAACCCTAAAGCCTAAACCCGAAACCCTCAGCCCTAAACCCTAAACCCGAAACCCTCAGCCCTAAACCCTAAACCCTAAACTGGACACCCTCAAGTCTTCACCCGCACCCTCAAACCCTGAGCCCCAAACCCTCAAACCGGGAGCTTAGGCTGGGGTTCCGAGGCTTGGGTTGCCTGTAGGGCCTTAGGGGGGTTAAGAGGGAAGGGGAGTATACTTCCTTAAATAGGTCCTTCCTCATAATCACCATCCCTAAACCCTTTTTGCACTAAACCCTAAACCCTAAACCCTAAACCCTAAACCCTAAACCCTAAACCCTATAATATACCCCAACACCGTATCCGACTTATTAAGGCCCTAAACCCTAAACCCGCTACCCGCCTGAGGGTCTCTGTGGGTTCAAGGCTGCTCTAGTCTACTCTCTCGGGGATTTGCGCCTTGAGGCTTCGGGGTTTCGGTTCCGGGGTCTGGGGGTTTACTACTATTTAGGAGTTTATCACTGGTTTAAGAGTTTATGACTATTTAGTGGTTTATGACTAATTTAGGGGTTCATGACTAATTTAGGGGTGTATGGCGAATTTAAGGGTTTATGACTGACTTAAGGTTTATGACTAATATAAGGGTTTATGACTATCTAGGGGTTTATGACTATTTGGGAGTTTATTGCTATTTTAAATTACCATTTGGGCATAGTGGTTAGTCGTGTTAGAATTGCTAGTACTGACCGTATCATCGCCGTGAGACGTACCAGCAGGGTATTTGAGGCGTAGGATTTTGAATTATTCAGGCTTCTAAAGACCCTGAAACCTAAACGAACCACAGAAAGACTCCGACAAACTCCGAGACCCCCACGGCCGCTTGCACAGCGGCAACAACTGGTGCGTGGTCGAAAGACAAGAGGCAATGCCTGAGAGATGTGTTAGGGTCTTAGGGTTTAGGGTTTAGGGCCTTTGTTAGCGGTTTAGGGTTTAGGGGTTCAGGGGTTTAGGGTTTGGGGTTAGAGGTAGGGGTGTAGGGTTTAGGGTTTACGGTTTAGGGTTTAGGGTTGAGGGTTTGGGGTCTATACAAGGGTTGCGGATTGCGGCTTGGGGCTTAGATGCTGTGGAGGTTCTACGCACTACCAGCGGTCCTTTGCCGTTGTTGATTGATTTTCTTCCCTCTCTCTATCGCAATCTCGCTTCTTGTTTTTGTTTTGGCTTACAGCGGCATTAGCAGCGGCAGCACAGGGAGCGGGTCAAACAAATCAGGAAACCAGAAAGAACGGGGCTCACTGGGCACAGGAAAAAGAAACCAACACACGCCAGGCAGTTGCGGTTGCGGGGTCCAAGCCCAGATTCCTGAACCAGCATGCCAAGCCCTCTACCAAAGGACGAAAGAGTGAATCCTGAACGAAAAAGAACGTACCGCATAAGTCTCATGCGCTTGGCCCTAGGCCCTAGACCTAAACCTAAAACCGAGGCCTTACCCTAAACCCTAAACCCTAAAACCCTTAAACCCTAGGCCCTAGCCCCAAAACCTAAACCCGAACCCTTTGGAGCTATACGCCAAATCTTCAAGCACCAATCCGAGATGGAAACCCTGCTAGCTGAGCATGCGCCTTCCTATCTCACAATGACCACATGTAAGCCAATGGCCCGAAAAGCCATGAAAACCCTGAAATGCCCCAGAAGCCCAAAGAGCAATCTCAAAAACCGCTATAAACTCAAAAACCTTCCTAAGCCAAGAAAACCCAAACCTGGACTCCCCCCAAACCCTAAAACCTAGACTTGACACCGTCCCAGGCGCTTGCGGAAGCTCGGCGTGTGCACCTCTTCATGCGGCGAGCGGGCCGGAAACGAAGAGAACCCAAAGACCCTTACAAGGGTTTAGGGTATTTTGGGTCTACCTTTTAGTCTTATTATACGGTTACTGCAGATCCTGCGGGGGGTTTTAACCCTAAACCCTAAACCCAAGAAGGGCTCGCACGATTCAGAGACTCTTGAGATGCTCCTATCCACCACTCTCTCATCGCATCGTCCAACTCTCCGAAAGCTGGGACGCCCGCAAACATCTCTGGCCTTGTCATCTAGTGTTTAGGGTTTAGGGTTTA